AGTTGAGGATGACGGAAAAAAAATTTGCTAATTTTTTTACAGTGCGGTGAAGTGTTCTGCGAAAGACTTCTCTTAGGCAATTGTTGGGGCGTTTGCATGGAAATGTGCAGAAAAATGGGCATGGAGACGGCAAAGACTCTGTTATACGTCCTTGGCCGTGATTGGCGTGCAAAATAAATGTTGACAGCTTCCAAGTCCCGTTTTCATGAAACCTTGGCATGTGTCGTAAGTTCAAATTTCTTTTGTGCCGTACAGGTTTGAGAAGTGGTCTTTATTTCTTCCAATCACGGCCTTACGTTTCGACGCCTTTCCTTCCTCGGAGGCCTGAATGGTTCTAAGTGTCATCCATAATTCCAGACCACCAAGCGTTTCCTCCAACTCTGCTAGTTTTCGACCTTCTTACAATCTCGCTACCAAATAAAATGTCAGTGTAGAGGACATACCGGAAGACCACTGCAACTCGAGTAGTCTGCACCGGAAAAAGGCAGTCTCGGCAGACGAGTGAATCGTACTGTAAATACACTAAGATGATCTACAGTTATAGATCACATAACGATACGAACGGGAGGAAGTCACTAGTTATTGATAAACACTCGTTCTTATTGTTCATCTCAGGATTCTTGCTAGTAATCCAGAATGCTTCCAAAGCTTTTCTAGCCAAGATCTCTGTTTCATACGCAAGAATTTTGCACTTGACATCGAAGTCTTCTCCACCGTGCTGCGCGTCTCCATGCCTGCCGAGTGCCGACCCCAAATTTCTGCGCCTTTTATCGGCCAAGTGTTCTTTCATGCGAATACCCAAAACTCTACCCGTCTCTCCTATGTATATTGCTTTGCAGTTAAGGCATTCGATTTGCTAAACGACTCTTTTGCACAGTCCCCAACTCTACCGTGCGGGCATACTATGCATTGCTCTGTTGTACAGTATCGGACGTAGAGCCTATTTTGGACTAGCTGCTTTTTGATATTGTCGTTGGCGATGTTAACTAGAACAACATCGAACATAATCCGACTGTTAATTAACCTTGGCATTATAATATACGAATAGTTTTTGAATTGTTTAAGCTTACCAAGGTGGCATAGGACTTGATAAAATGGCTGACGCGTTTCGGCGATGTATCGCCTTCTTCAGAGCGCTGTAAGGAAAGTTAAGCCGCGACAATTGAAGACTCACGGCGGTCGCCACTGTTCACTATCCTGAGGTAGCGGAACCGAATAAATTGACGTGACCCTCTTCCGTTGTCTATTTATAGTCCCCAAGACGCTGGTAAGCTGTAAGATCGCTTATCATGGCTATACTGTCCTCCTTTCTATTCTTTGGGGAGAACGGGCGGAGATGTAGAAAGCCTCAAGGGTTCTACGCTCTAAAATTTCAGATTCTTGCACTAAAATTGATGCGGCAACTTCTACGGTGGTGTTTTGATGACATTCTATACGATGAGCCCCTAGTGAAGTGGAGATTTTGGACTTTTGTAGACCATCCAGATGTTCTTTGACGCGAGAAATTAGTGGACGTCCTGTTTCTCCTATGTAAACTGCCCCGCAAGCATTACATACTATTTGGTAGACAACGCCGGATACCATACAATCTCCCTGTTTACCATACGGACAATTTAGGCAAGCATTAGTCATGCAGAGACGATCATAAGAGCGATTGCGTACTAATTGCTAATACAAGATGATATCGCAAACCTAGTTGCAAAAATATCTTGGTCTACACTTCGGCACATCCGCGCTGGGTTAAGAATTCTGTTATAAAAAACATGTACAAAACAGCATCGCAAGTCTCATCTGGACCCCAGGAACGCAACCACTCTTTGGAAATGGCGAACAGTGTAGCAAGTAGTAATGGGTACCTTTTACAAAAGATCCACAAATCCCGACGTTCTGCTGCTAGACGGACAAGACACACCGCGGTAATCTTATCTGAGATGAAGCGAAGGCAAAGTGAGAGCTTGTTGGTACTATGAATGCTGGCACCATTCCTAGATTGTCGACAACGAGGTAAGTCATGGTAATCATTACTGCAAACAATTCGAAAAGCCAAATTACGCGATTCGCAGCGTTCTTTCGTTCTTTTGCCTTCCCTTCATCTCAGATAAGATTACGGCGGCGTTTCAGCAATGCATCTTTTGGGCCCAGTTGCAAAATGATGTTGTTCTAGTTAACATCCCCAACGACAATATCAAAAAGCAGCTAGTCCAAAATAGGCTCTACGTCCGATACTGTACAACAGAGCAGTGCATAGTATGCCCGCACGGTAGAGTTGGGGACTGTGCAAAAGAGTCGTTTAGCAAATCGAATGCCTTAACTGCAAAGCAATATACATAGGAGAGACGGGTAGAGTTTTGGGTATTCGCATGAAAGAACACTTGGCCGATAAAAGGCGCAGAAATTTGGGGTCGGCACTCGGCAGGCATGGAGACGCGCAGCACGGTGGAGAAGACTTCGATGTCAAGTGCAAAATTCTTGCGTATGAAACAGAGATCTTGGCTAGAAAAGCTTTGGAAGCATTCTGGATTACTAGCAAGAATCCTGAGATGAACAATAAGAACGAGTGTTTATCAATAACTAGTGACTTCCTCCCGTTCGTATCGTTATGTGATCTATAACTGTAGATCATCTTAGTGTATCTACAGTATGATTCACTAAAACTAGCAGAGTTGGAGGAAACGCTTGGTGGTCTGGAATTACGGATGACACTTAGAACCATTCAGGCCTCTGAGGAAGACGAAAGGCGTCGAAACGTAAGGCCGTGATTGGAAGAAATAAAGACCACTTCTCAAACCTGTAGGCACAAAAGAAATTTGAACTTACGATAAATGTTGACATTTATATTTGTTCTTTCCTGTTCATTGACTAAAAAATCCAACTAAATTACATCTTAGACAAGTGGACTATCAAGCCGAACAGGCATAAATAACAGCTTACATATCTACCTGTAACTTACAGATAAACTGAACTTCTACATCTGAGGAATGTTGAATGAAAAGAAAGGCCATTTTGTATAGAAACAAGAAAATGGTTGGTTGAATTCAATGAAAATAGTCCCAACTTTAGGAGGAGGGAAAGGAAGGAAATAACCCATTTACTTCAAGAGGAGGTTAATGAGACATTAGGTTATTGCTTCATAGAGAACTCACCCAATTATTCGATGTGTTCAAATTCAGAACAGTAAAAGCTTCCGTTTTTGATAGTAAAGATAGTATAGGCTAATTACAGAAGAAAGCTAAAGATGAACAGCTGAAATGTCTTTATTGTCAAAAATGACAGGATTGATATCCAGTCTATTCATTTTTGCTCTAGCATTCAACAATTCATTCCCTCTAAACTTCCTACTAGCCGGTTGACAAAGGTAAGTGCATGTCCTGCAAGGTTTCACCCAGAGAGCTTGTTCTTCCAAACTCATCTTTTTCTTAAAATATTCAGTGAACTACTTTTGACCAGCTAAGTCATTTTTAGCTGAATGCTATTTCGCCGCTTTGATGTAGTCCTGATGTGATGAACAAACCTACTATAAAGTGCGGTCGAGTAGATTTTCCGCTTAATATATCGTGCTTGCACTGTAGATGAGATGCAGTAAAATTTGCGCGTGAGCAATAAGCCAGGCCAGTAATACCGGCAATCGCGCAATAAGCCGGCGTCACAGGCATAGCTGTTTGTTCAGGCGCAAATTTTCCGCATTTTACCTATAGGCAAGCACACTATATTGAGCGGAAAATCTACTCGACTGTATGAAGCCTAGGACCAAACAATAAGCTAAAACACAATTTTTGAGTTTTGTAGAAAATTTTCAGAGAAAGAAGGCTTTTGTTTATCTTTAATCTTTTTTTTTTGAGGTGACGTAATTGATACTTCTAATATATATTAGGTCGTTCCAAAAGTAATGTCGCTTTTTTCAAACGTATGCCACATCTCGTGGAACAAAGATTTGTACAAGATTCTGGTAGCATTTGATGCAGAATTTCATTCTCTTTCTAACGGTTATGAAGTTGTTGCAATAAACTTAATGAGCTTCCAGAAAAGAGTCAAAATCTGCGACCTTTGCTATTTGAGATGGCCAACTTTCACAATTTTTCTAAAATTTTATAACAAACCTCAGAAGGAGTCCAAGTAATGGATGGATGGAGCAAACCCTACAGGAAACAGCACAACTTTTTTCTACTTTCCAGAGCTCGTCATAATTTTTGTACAGATTTTTTGATGGAACCACCGAATTTTAGCGGGCTCGTCTCAGACATAAGTCCATCAAACGCCAACAAGTCTTCGGATTTTGAAACTTACAAAGATGGATTAAGGTTTGGCAACAATTTGACAAATCAAACGAGCATTCACCGCTTCGGTTTAGCAACTTTCGAAAATTTCGGGTACACCTTGGGGTCCCTTGGAAAAGTTGAATTATGAGATTTTATCCCGGAAAACTTGATGAATCGGAAGCAAAAAACAACCGCTAGAAAGAGGAGAAAAAGGTGCATCGAATGACACCCGAGTCGCTTGCCGGTTGCTGTTCTTTGAGGTTTGACTTGACCAAATATGGAATTTGATGGCATCGAGAAATTGATTGTAGAAACTCTGAGAAGCAAGCTGAGGAAAAGAAAATATTACTCTGTGTTCTATAGTGTTTGCTCTATCTACCTGCCACTTGTACTTTTTCGGAGATTAGGCACAAAAATTTAGAAAAATAGCCAAACTTGACCATGGCAAAAAGCATGAGTCTGAGATTTTGGTAATTTTCGAAAGCTCATTAGATATTATGCAATGCAACTGCAACCATTAGAAAGAGGATCAAATGCTTCATCGAATGCTCCTAAGATCTCTTGGAAATCTTGATTCTATGAAATGTGGCGTTCATTCAAAAAAAGCGACATTATTTTCGGAACGACCTAATACATAATTTTTGATCAGTTATGACGTGAATTTCCAATGACCACAAGGACATGCTGCAGCAAATGAGAGGAGAGGTTCTAATGTGAATAAAATAACTGTAACTGAATGGAAACCTACCCCTCCGACTCCGCGTTGATAATATCGACATAGTCTTCTTCGTTTTTGCGAGGTTTGAATTCAACGCATGTGTTAGCAGCAATTTTTTTCATAGCACTTAGAATCTTTGAGCGCTCTTCATCACCTGCATAAGCAACCTCTAATTCCAATGATCAGGGAGGCATTCATGTTCAAAAATTTTGTAGATATTCGATAGCAGACTAACTTTGTTTGATTCTAGAAAACATAAAATTTTGGCTTGATGAGGGATAAAACTGCGCTCAAACGTAAGCAAAGTGGCGCTTACTGTATACGCCAGAGAAATGATATGGAATAATGTAGTTTCCATTCTGGTTAGTATACTTATTCCACAACTGAGTTGCAGGCTCATCTTCTGTCAATACAGTCGCGACAAATGTGGCCCAAACGAAGAGTACGAATGCCTTCATTCTATAATAGACAATTATGATAACCGATTTTTTTTTGTTCAAGTTCAATGTGATTACTATTGGATTGCAATGAAACGTACTTTCCTATAAGAGTTCTGCAAATACAATGCTGTTTGTTAAAAACCTGTAATTCATTTGAAAATTGCACGGGTCATCTACTTGGTAAGAAAGATACTTTGACCCAGGTTTTCTGGTATAAGATGAAAGCTATAAATTGCATTTTATAACGCTTATTTTGATGCTAACCTCATTAGTATACAATCTTCAGAGGATCCATGATAATACAGCAAACAGTCAGAAGCACAATGCAAAAATTTTCTAATTTTTTGCTCATAAAATTTAGATCGACGAGCCTAACAATAAAAGTCCGTTGTTGAAGCTGTTAGAATAGAGGAGATAACCGAACTAATGATATTTAGTACCTAGCATCATAATAACTTCATCAAATGAAATATTCATGGCCTCTGGAAGGAAGATGGTTTCGATAACAGACTCAGAGTTGAGATCACCGCCTTGAGATACTATAGTGTGCATTTCAAATCGGAATGTTACGGTCAAAAAAGAACTTTCATGTAAGCTGAAATACATCATAGATTTTGCTTACCACTGGCATAAATTCGGGTACGTCAGATATTATTCACATTGCCTCTTTTTCCTTTTTACCCTTGACTGCCGTGAGATTGTTACCTTGAAACACTTTTAACTCTACTGAAAAAAGTTTTATCATACTGGATGTCTATAGGAGCTTTCTATGAGTTTACATTGCAATAAATAACCGTTGGCAACTAAACTCACAAGTGCTTTGTCCTTATACTTGCTACTCAACTTAATAGTTATTATTAACAGCGAAGCTGAATTGTCGTTGAATGCATCACAACAATTTGAAGACTTCAGAGCTAATTAAGAAAAAATTCACCCTTTGCGGGAAACCAGTTGTTTGAGCTTAAGAATGTTCAAGGAAAAAATTTTGATATTATGGGAATTGAATATATACAAATGAGACAGAAGGCAAGGGATTGTTATTTCCAGACTTCAACAGCTTATATACAAATTGTGGTAATAATAGAAAAAAGGGATTTGAAATGCCATTGCAAACGACTTCATGAAAGAAGAAAGTACAACATAATGCTTTACCTTAATGGGGAATATAATGCATATGGCAATGAAAGCGCTCTTTGTGTAGATCTATTCGGTTTGGGTTATCACCAAATGAGTTTTCCTTGTTCCGTTAACAAAGGAGAGATCGGGTCCCTCCGCAATGTAAGACATAATGTCAACGTTTTCTACAGAGTTCGACAAATAGAAGTCAGATTAGACGAAATGGGAATACGTCGCATATAATTTCAGCAAAGGTGAGGGTTTTATGGCGTTCACAAGTGCTTAGAGGCAGCGTCCACCCAAAATTTCGTATTCCATGTTTTCAAAGCTATCGGGCCTTTCCATGGCGCTGAATTCAGCTATGAGGTTCGAATTACCAGAAAGCTCCGAAATTGCCCCTTTCTGAAGCCCTATTTCGGATTGCCCCTGTCGTGGGCAGTGCCCCTGCGCTAGCCACGTCGTATGCAGCAGTGCCACATAACAAACTATGCGTCTCGACGTTGCTTGTCATGTCAGAACACGTCAGGGGCAATCCGTGGAAGGGGGGGGGGGGGGAGGCAAAAAAGGGGCGGGACGCAAAGAGGGTTAGGTCCGTTGTCTTTTTTGTAGGCAACTTTAGGGGACCCGACCAGGGCCCGGCACCGATGGTTTGGGGTCAAACTGGACTTCGTTTTTGGAGTTGGAAGCAACGGAGACATCGTTTTTATGAGGTCCTGGAGGAAGCACAAAAAACACGACGAACATGTTAGGTTTCACGAGTTGAACGTGTTCTTTCGCAAGCGCGCGAATTTCAAATGTAAGACTCAAACAAACAAATGGCTTCTTTACAGCGCACAAACAATCACATGGCTCCGAATTTGGGCTATGAGTATACAATATTACTCCAAACTATGTTATGTAAAAAGTTCTCAAAACTTATGTGTCTGAATACCCGTTCCGGATTTGTTGGTTTCTAGACCAACCACCGAACCAACTGGGTTGGTGGTCTGAACCAACCACGACGCTGCCTTTGATGTGTTACCGACGTACTTGCGAAGCCCAAGATGCTGAGCTTACAACTCGGAACGGTGTTGCGCACAAAGCGAGAAAAGTGAGTATCAACTTGAAAATAATTACACCGAAAAATTGCGTTTTTATGGCCTTGTTCATGCGGAAAACAAGATTTTTTTGAGGATATCTCCCTAAAAATGTCACATTTTTCGGATTTATTCTTGGAATATGACTAACAATTGACTAACAATAAGTTTCAATATTTACGAAGTCTGTTTGAGTCCAATAGAAACGAAACTGCACTCAAAACTTGCGTAAAGAGTTACAGTAGAAAAAATGCGACTTTGTTTTGTGAATTTATTTTTGGCTAAGCGTTGTCATATCTTGTTATCAACATTTTCCTTCCCCAGGAAGGCTGGAAGGAACCTGCGTGAAGCCACAGTCATCAAGAGTGATGGTGTGGGCTTCACTATGGAAAGTTTGACCACTGCTGCAGGCATCCTTCGATGTTCTCAGAAGGTAAAAAGGACTAACATATCCAATAAAAATGGTCAGGATATCCCATACAGATCTACTCCAACAGCAAGCGAGCGGTCGAACTTCCCCGCGCAAGCGGCGAGCATTAGGAACCGTGCGGGCGCTCCATGTTAACCGTGCCAACGGCCCTTGACGACCGTACAATCGCACGCACCGACGAGCGATTGTACGGTCAGCAGTCATCGCTGGCCGCCCGCACGGCGCGAGTCCCTGAGCAAGCTCTATTTTTTGATTTGAATAAAAAATTTTGCAAAAACTCTGTTCTTGCAATTTTATTTTCCTTCAATCCAGCTATCATCACGTATTCAAATATTCAATACTCATCAAGTATTCGAATATCGAAGACGTTCGATTGATCGATTCAGTAATCATCGCAGTTCAATTTTCGATTGATATCCAAGTCAATATGTCGCATACTCGACTTGGGATGATATTCGATATAAATTTTCGAATATTCGACTTTCAAATTTTGGGTTATCGAATTTTTGCATTTTGAATCATGAGCATTCGAATGATCGAATAATCCATCCGATTCGCCCAGAGTATAGTATCCAGGGTACGGCAATCAACAAATCCCTCCCAAATTTATCAGAGAATATCATTTTCAACACATTCCCCTCAAATTTATTAGGGAATCTAATTTTGAACACATCCCTCTTAAATTTATCAGGTAACAGAATTTACAGAGATGATATGTAAATCGCACAGTACATTCAAAAAGAAAAGTAGTGATTGCAGAGATATGTAACAAATGTAGCTCTCTACAGAGTTAGTATACACAGGCCATAAAATTACCATTGTTTCAGTAGATTTTGATCAATTCTTGGATAGATATCGCGCACTATTTGAGAGCGATTAGATCAATTTTGATACTTCTGCCCTTTGTACTTCTTCGGAGATTGGGTACAAAAATTTAGAAAAATAGCCGAACTTGACCATGGCAAAAAGCATGAGTTGCAGATTTTGGTAATTTTTCGAGAGTTCATTGAACATTCTGCAGTGAAATTAGAACCATTAGAAAGAGGATGAAATGATGCATCGAATGCTTCGAGGATCTTTCAAAAATGTTGATTCCACGAATAGTGACGTTCATTCGAAAACAGCGACATTACTTTCGGAACGACCTAATAGATTTCTTTGAACAAGAAACTGCGGAGGTGTTGTGGTCTAACCCTAACATATAAAGCAATTTCTATGCGTCTTCTCTAAAGTCTCCAGCTTTGAAATGTTAGCGTCGTTTGCGTCGTTTTAATTTTTGCTTACTTATTCCCCTTAAGAGCCAAAGCTCTAGCAAGGTTTGCATAAGGTAAGCATCCTATTTCTTAAAAGCTGGCTTTTTTTTCCAAAAGCTGCAATTTTTTTGAGTTCGAATGAATAAATGGAGCTAAGAAATGAAGCATAAATGCAAAGGGAAAAGCATGCTGGAGCTTCGGAATTATTCGTGCAGATTTTGTCAGAAAGGATTTTATTGCGGAAAACCGTGGCTTCGAATGTTTTACGACAAAAATGAATTGGTTCTACATCAACCTAACAACATAATAACGTTTGAATACAGCGTTTCGGATGGAAATGTACGTAGCTCGAAATAATCTTGAATGCAAAAGCAGGCCAGTTTGCATATTGATACAATATGGTTAGACTTAAGGAAGCCAATTCACGGTTGCCAAACGGTTTAGCGCTCAAAGCTTTGTGCCGCTAATTATGAATTCTGTACAAAAAGCTCTGCAAACCGCATTTCAACCCTGTTGGAAAGTTCGCATCAAGAAGAGTGTGTAGGCATAGTTGTTATGCATAGTCTAGCCCATACGTTTTGTTGGGTTGAATGCTAAACTAATGTGCAAAACTTTTTGTTTATCGGAGCAGGAAGGCAAGCTTTAGCGATTCAGGGCCGACTGACGGGCTGTTAGTCTCTCACCCCATGATGCACAATCAAAAATTGGTTAGCGACAAGTTTCGTCTTTAAATTTTCATACAAACGGCATGAAGCTCACGCCAGTTTTCTAAGAGTGATTAAAAATTTACATGTTCATTAAATATGTGTGTCAATCTTCAAACCGTTGCAATCCGTCACAAGTTTTGAGCGTAAGTTTTGTAAAGCCTCAAACTTTCTAACATAAGCCTAGAAAAGAATTGTCACCCAATGCAGAGAGTAAAGATGATATTGAAAAAGAAGATTGCTCTGAGTACTAAAATACAAATACTGCATTTATTTTCGAAGGTTTATACTGCTTAATGCGTACTACAGCTTCATAACGCGATATGAGGTTGCTTGAAACTATTTTTTGAATAGAAAATCTGTGCTTCTCCCCATCACCTTTTCAGATAGTCGGTTCACTCTAAAGCACACACCTTCGAAAAAAACAATAGCAAAGGATATATACAGCGGGACAATCAAAATACAGACAACACGGAGTTAGTATTTCAAAGGCTGTCAGTCAGAGTGGAACTTCTGGATCTCAAGTTCTACTTACCTCCTGGACTCCTCGTTAAATTTTCAAAGGATGAGGACACGCATTTACCTCGAGGAAACCTAACTCTTACAAAGAAGCTCAATTGAGGCAACGCAAAACTGAAAAAAACAAGGGTCTCAACCTACACAATCATCAACTTGTGAGGCTATCACACTAGCCACAACAGGCCAAATCTGGCGCGAAAATCCTTCATAACTTCTTTCAGGGAAACGATTAGCAGAAACGGATTCGTCAGCGTTCAAAGACAAGCGTAATGGTATATATTACATTTCAAATGGCCACGGGCACTGAGTACGTTCCCTTTTTAGAACAACGCAGCACTTTGCTTCAGGATTGGCACTTTAGTTCGCGAGTTTTTCTGCAGTTACTGCTCAGAGCTTCACTGGTTGTGTTTTTGCAACCAACACCTTTGCCCATTATTCATGACTTTGGGGATACAGAGTTGGTGGCAGAGAATGTTTGTTAAAGTGAAAAATTTTAGAAGTAATCAATTGTTGCTTTGATTTTTTCGGGCTGCGATATATTACCCACAAATCCATCAAATCGCTACACCTACGCGACTTGACTTTGCCAGATGTCTAAAGAATAACCGTGAGCGGGCCCCAGACGCATGAACGCCTAGCTTCTGTAAGTTGTCGCAAATGCATAAGGTCCGGCCCGAGCAATGCGCGTTACTTCCACTTAGGGGCAGTCGGTGCATGCCAAATCGCGCAGCGACTGTTATCGCATGAAGTATGCCTTGGGCTAAAACTTTTTGGGCAAAATTTCGTCTCCAAAAACGTGTAATCAAGTGGTCGAGCTTGTCTTACTTTCATCAAAGACATGTGTATTTTTGTGTGTATCCCAAGCCGTAAAACACTTCAATATTATTGGATTGCTGAGCCTTAAACTGAAGCTTCATCGGCAAATAATTTGAATAATTGCGACTGCGTTAAAATAACATTTCTTCAGGAGCGACGTCGTAGTTGACTGTGTCAAGAAACGCAGTGTCCAGGTTTGTAAGTTTCCAAGTATTTTCGTGACTTTGGTTTCATTCCATATTAGGTTAATGAGACAGAATTTGTGTTGAGAATCGAGATAACAACCCTCCTTGCATGACAGCAAACCTTTCACTTTTCAATACTATGCCAGTTGATTGGGCAAAAAGAATGCTGCCACAATTACTTTTAAAATCATTGAGAAGTTGAATAAATTGAACAAACTCTATTTGAAGAAATTATATGCGAACAAGCTTGCTTTGAGTTAGACGAGGAATGCTTGAGAGTGCGTTGCCTTTGTCATTTTCAACACATGTGTTAAATATGCCGACGTGTTCTAGAGATTTTTTTGGATTAAGTTTTTTCTGCGTTTTTGATATCAAGATTACGTCATCGTTTTGAATATAGGGTGCCAAATTAGTGTACGTTCAAGAAGCGTCTTAAGATATCTGACAACCAAAGAAATCATAGTTTTTTTTGATTTATTTGTGTAAGCGAGACCTTGTTGGTTTAAATAAGTTAACTGTCATCTGGCACGGTTCCCTTCCCACCTTATACATCTTATATATAAAGCTGAATGTCTGTTTGTATGTCTGTATGTCTGTATGTCTGTATGTCTGTCTGTCTGTACGTATGTTCCGAATAGAAAATTCCATTTCTGAACCGATCCGGACCAAACTTGGCACACATACACTACGGGCCCCGGCGGGTGTCATAGGCTACTTTTCGTCATCGATCGATATCGATTTTATCGATTTTTATCGATTTTTTTTGTTGAGTTCACCTACGGGGCTGGGAGTTGGCACAGGGGGGTAATCGAGCATGGGCATTCCGAATACAATATTGGTTTTCAGGATTATCGATTACTTTTATCGATTTTATCGATTTTTTTGCAAAGTTTGAGCTACGGGGCTGGGAGTTGGCACAGGGGGGTAATCGAGCATGGGGAATCCGAATACAATATTGGTTTTCGGGATTATCGATTACTTTTATCGATTTTATCGATTTTTTTGTAAAGTTTGACCTGCGGGGCTGGGAGTTTGGCACAGGGGTGTAATCGAGCATGCTGATCACCCCCCTTGGGGGGTGATCAGCATGTCTTTTATCGATAAAATCGATAAAAGTAATCGATAATCCCGAAAACCAATATTGTATTCGGATTCCCCATGCTCAC